TCACTGTTGTTTGGCGGGCTGGATTCGAACCCGCCACCTTAGGTGTATGTGGCTGGAGCCTTAGCCACTTGAGCCACAGGCACTGAGCCACTGCTTGTGTTTATTAATGGCTCAGTGAACTGCCTCAATTTAAAGTGGTCACAACTATTATTAATGATGTTTGTTGCACTGTTTTGTCATTATTATAACTGCCATTAAAAATAATTACCAGGAGACATTGGTTACTGGAAGAATTATTCCTATTCAGACATAATATGTTAACTGTGAATGTTATTTGTAACCTGACTTAATATGCTCTTTTAAAATTAGAAATACTTCAACTTATTTCTTCAACGTTTGCAAAGTGATGCAACATGCATTTTCCAAATAACTTTGATGAGCAAGCACGAGAGGGAAACTAACCCGACAAGGACGGATGAACAAATCCAACCTCTTCTTTAGCTGATATTAAAATCTTTTCCAGTTATGCTTTTTTCTTGTTTTCAGCCCTATAAAACCAGTTCAGCAAAATGGCGACCATACCTGGTTCCCATCGATGGTGTAATCATATTTGGTGGCATATACTTTTCCTACTGACACTGCAATAGCGTAAGCCACCACAGCGATGGAAAACGATGCAGCCAGCATCTCAGAGAACAGGCTGACAGATGGGAGCACGGGAGGCAAAAACCTAGTGAGTTTTAAACGAAAAATGCCGTGATGATTTGACCGCAATTCTCTTTCCGACCTCTCCAAATGCTATCCCTACTCAGCCATGTTAGACATGAAAGAACGTGGCCCAAAAGAACAAACAGCACACGAGATACATGAATAGTGGCATCTGCTTTTAAAATTTTTTTTTTTTTTTGAGACAGAGTCTTGCCCTGTCACTCAGGCTAGAGTGCAGTGGCATTATCATAGCTACTGTAACCTCCGATCCCTGGCCTCAAGCCATCCTCCCTCCCTGCCTCACAGGGTGCTAGGGTACAGGCATGAGCCACCACACCCGAGCTGCTTTACAATTTTGAATCAGAAGTTGTATCTCACCAGCTGATTTCTTTGTCCACTGTTTGAGAGCCTACATATGCTACCTCTTCTATACCTCTGACATAAATCAATCTGTTGTTGCTGATTCTTTAATATCATAAAACCCCATCCATGCCATTTCACACATAGTGTTTCTCCTTACACAACTCCATCTTAAAGGTCTTGGATTTAAAAGATATTCTAGCCATAAGATGAGATTTTCTCTGTATGAAGAGATGTCAAGTCTGTTAGAGACAGATGCTGAAAAAGCTCAGTGGGAAATTCATCTCCTAAGAGCCATAACATTTAAAATCTTTTTGAGCCCCCCAAAGATTTAAATTTTTGTAATTGTAACAGTGCTCCACAGTGACAAAAGTATCCTGACAATTGTGGGGTTAAATGACTACTGTTTGACTAAACCAGAGCTACTCTAAAAACCTTCTAAATTCTTCTAAATTTCTTCTAGAAATTCTTCTAAAAATAAAGAAGTTAACCTACAAGTTTATGAGGTTGTTCCCAGTATGTAAATTTGAGGATTACCTTCATGTACCTGTATCTTGAAAACTATCCATATAGTGTCATTCTTGAAGTCGCCAGCCACAAAAAAAATCTCCCTGACTGACCTACCTTCCTTATCCCTGAAGTTCCTGTAATAAGAAACTACACTTTTCCCCCAATAATTAGAGAGAAGTGGTAAAAATAATGTAGAAATAAGATTCTTAGAGAAAACAGAGAAATTTAGACCTAGAAAGCATTCTAGATACTGTTGAATCTACCTCTCTCATTTTTTTTTTTTTTTGTTTGATTTTAAGACAGGGTCTCACTCTGTTACTCAGGCTTGAGTGCAGTGATGTTGTCATAGCTCAGCGCTACCTCAGACTCTTAGGCTCAAGTGATCCTCTCGCCTTTGCCTCTGGAGTAGCTATGACTACAGGTGCATGCCTATCTTTAAAAAAAAAAAAAAGCGTTTTGTAGAGTCTTGCTATGTTGCTTAGGCTGATCTTGAACTCCTAGCCCCAAGTAATCCTCCCACATTGGCCTCCCAAAGATTATAGTAGGGAGCTCCCACACTCTGCCTCTCATTTTGTTGCTAAAGAAACTGAGACCGGCTCGGCGCCTGTGGCTCAAGTGGCTAAGGCACCAGCCACGTACACCCAAGGTGGCGGGTTCGAATCCGCCCTGGACCCGCCAAACAACAATGACGGCTGCAACCTAAAAATAGCCAGGCGTTGTGGCGGGCGCCTGTGGTCCCAGCTACTTGGGAGGCTGAGGCAGGAGATGCACTTGAGCCCAGGAGTTGGAGGTTGCTGTGAGCTGAGATGCCACGGCACTCTACCCAGGGGGACAGCTTGAGGCTCCTGTCTAAAAAAAAAAAAAAAGAAACTGAGACCGAGAAAAGCAAAGTGATTTGCTTGAGGTTACTTAGCAGGGTTTAGTAGGTCCAGGTATAAGGGTGAGCCATTAGATGATTTTCTAGCTATTAGATGATCTGTCTGGTTCTCTGCCCATATAGCCTTTCCCCACAGGTGAAGTTAATCTTCAGGCTCCTTTTCCCGTCCTACCCTACAGGCAAGCTCTGAAGTAAACGCCTTCCATAGGCAGATAGGATGTTGGAAACCTGGATCCAGTACTTGAGCAACACAGCATCATGTCACTCACTAATTTGAATGTAACCTTGAACTACATTTCTTAAAACCAGCTTCCGTACTTGTTCCTGAGACTCAGACAACTCTACTTCAGGTAACTGGGGCTTGTCGGGTCCTGTGAAGAGTTTAGTTTTGATACTGGCCTAATGCTCATTGCCTACCCAACTGCCTAGTTCTGCAAATATTATGTGATCCCTGATTATCCAGGGTTACAAAAGGTAAAGTGCAAAGATTTAAAGTCAAAGGACCAGAATTGCTCTGCAGGTGACTTTGGGTATGTTATTTAAGCCTACCAGAGTGCATGTTCTTCCACTATTAAATAAGAACTATACACCCTTATCATAGTATCAAATGAGATATTACTTAAGTAATTCGTGCTGATACACATGGTAGGCGCTCAATGTATGTTGGAAGAAGCTAAGTGTGCTAAACTCCTGTCACCCATTTGTACCATCTGGCCCTTGAGGCTGCCAATTATTTGCCCCACATCAATTGAGGCCCTGACTGGACAACTTCTAATGACTTTCTAGCACCTTCCTTCCTGGATATAACTCTTTACAAATGTTATGCTCACTCATTGGACCTATTCGGCCTTAGCCAATTGCATGAGGCCTAATCATGAGATAACACTACTGAGAGCCCAAAGGGGAGTGTATGACACACCAGTCATCTGAAAAAGGAAGATGGGGAGAGGTGGAGCCTGGAGGGCCCAGAAACCCATGCAGGAGAGTCGGGCATGACAAACATCATGCCAAGTACACGTTTTACTCCACACTGGATCTTAGCAGGCTAAAGATCAGGTGCCTGAGAAGAAGACAGGCGTGTTGTGACCAGCCCTCCTAAGAGTCTGCTGGTTAAGACAATACCTCGGCAGAAGGAGGGGCTCCTGGGGCGATGCTTAGATGCTGACTGGGCATGGGGCATGGAGAAGTTGCATATTTGTACCAGGAAAGGGCGCAGAGGGAAGGGCTTGGAGCCACAGTTTGGGGCTGTCCAATGGGACATTGTTATTGGGACCAAGTGACCCTAACACATGGTCCTGGCCCTTGGCAGGATAAAAGGAAGCTGCCCACTGCAGCCTTGTGGGAGGACTGAGGCAGTGGGAAGCTCAGAAGGGGGCGTGTCGCAGTCTCTGGGTTCCTCTTCCTTTCACTTGTGCCCGCATTGTCCACTTTAATCCTCTGCTTTTCCTGCTCTTTTCCAATCTCTCCTCACCACCCTATCTTTTTCAGGTTTGTTAATATCATCAGAATTATTCTGTGCTACCAAGTGCGATCAGGTAACAAAGACCTTGCTTGTGACTTATTCATAATGACACAGGCTTTGGTATTTTATCCTGTCATCATACAGTTCCTGAGAGCCTACTGTGAGATGGGTTCTGTGTTAGGGAGACAGACAAACAACATAAAGGGGGTCACTGTCCTCACAGAAGCACTTATAATCCTTGGGGTGAGCCAGGTTAAGTTACCTGACCAGGTGGTCTGATAAAGGATTCAACTTGATTAAACGCAGGGACAAGAGGCTTGAGAGCCATTCTCAGGAGGAGGGAAGCCAGGAAAGCTCTGTACAAGGCCAGAAGGCCACTGAAGGGCAGCAAAATGAGTTCCCCAAATCGATTGATGGAACATGGGTTTAAGGGACACGGCGTGTTCTGTGGGCCACCTTGTTACAAATTAGGAAGCCAGACAAAAGGGCTCATATTATAATACTCAATATATACCGCTAACAAAAGATGAATCTAAGTTATTTTTGAGCACCTCTTGTAATTTCAGAAGTCAAATGTGACTTGAGGTATCACAAATTTAATATGTGTTTTCTTCTTTCTTAAACGGTGCATACATTTTTTGGGCACCCTCTGCACAGGTGTAAATCTATACATACACATAAATCTGCATGTGACTTTGGGTATCTTTAAAATAGATAAAGAAATATGGATATCTTGAAAATAGATAAAGAAATATGTATCATATCTAAATATATACATTAACAAATAAAAATAACTAAAATATAGATATTTATACCAAAGAAAAGAGTCTCATGTGATTCTTTCAAAAAGGTAAGTTTGAGAAACATTACAATGTTATATATAATACATATAAAAATACATGTTCTACTTACCACAATTACTTCTATAGGAATAGGGATGGGGATTTTGTGTTTAAATTGATCACTACATTGAGTCCTATGTAGCCAGTTGTCATTTTTCAAATATATTTTGAATGAATACTGGAAGAAATTGTAAGAATAATCAAATGGGAAGGCAGGCGTGCCCTGTGGAAGGGGCACCGGGAAAACGCCTGCCTGAGGTGTTCCATGTTAAGAGCCCGGAACCAGAGACTGGTACGGGGCTCCTCATAAGTGTGAAGGGAGGGAAACTGGCACTTAGTGGTTGATGTAACTAGTACTTACTGGTTAGTCATAAATGCTAAGTTAATGATACAAATATAATAAATATCTGGGTACCCTTTGTAACTCCAGATGATAAAGTTATAGAGTAGGGCACTCTGTCCGTGCTGTGCATTTTATGAGAGAACTCACTGGTGTTTGTAACAAGCTTGAGTTGAAGTTTCGGCTGTTGTCATCACCCTTATCTTATAAGAGAACCTCCCTGGAACCACAAAACTAGATGGTGATAGAGATGAATGGAGGACCTTGGTTTTTACTCTTCTAATTCACTGAAGTAACAAATATTTGTGAAACTCTCTTTTTATGGGTACAAATGTTGTACTACATAATTATCAGGTAAGATTGAATAAACTAAATAGAATTTACATTAGATGTCCTTGACGCCTTCAGCAGATTGTTCACAGCGCAATAAATGTTGCAAAGTCATGATTCTGTTTATATTCTATTGTAATTATGAGGGGTTTTTTGGTGACAGAGTCTCACTCCATCACTCTGGTAGAGTGCCATGGTGTCATAATAGCTCACTGCAACCTCAAACTCTTGGGCTCAAGAGACCCTTTTGCCTTAGCTTCCAAGTAGCTGGGACTACAGGTGCCCACCACAATGCCAGGCTAATTTTTCTACTTTAAGTAGAGATGGGGTCTTGCTCTTGCTCAGGCTGCTCTCCAACTCCTGAGCTCAAGCAATCCACCTGCTTCGGCCTCCAGTGTGCTAGGAGTACAGGCCTGAGCCACTGCACCTGGCCTGTAATTATGAGTTTCAATCAGGTGTTTGAACAGGTACTGGGAATAAGCCTGCCTGAGGCACTTACACGTTCTACCACATTTTAAGAAAATGAAGAAAAAAGAGAGAGGGCATAGGGGCTGATTTTAAATAAATGGCTTCAAGTTCATCTACACATGTACTGTTGGATGGTTTGCACAATGGGTACTTATTTCTTCAAGATCACAAACAAATAGGACTATTGAAGGTGCGTCAGGGAAGTGAAGCTTGTAATAAAAGGTTTCATTTAAATAGGAAGTACTGACTTAATATATTGGTATTGTCTAAGAGGAACACCACACTTACCCCCTTGGGATGGATTTAACAATGCCAGCATTGTAATTGTTTTCCAAGTCAGCTCCATATGAAATGGCAGTAGCAATTATTGTCTGAAATAAAATAAGATTTTTTTTAACAATAACTCCACCTGTTGTAATACTTCCTTGTCAAATTTTCTAACTACCTACTGTACTTACCACAATTACTTCTATAGGTATGGGGATTGGAATTTTGTGTTTAAATCGATCATTTAATTCCTTAACTGCCATACAGATGACGATAGTGAGTAATCCGGCAATGAAATCAGCAAGATTGGTATGACCAATGTTTTGAAAAATCTCAACCAGAGTCTGTAAAAGGAAAATAATTTTATATACTTCCTGCTACACAGACATACATACAAAATTGTTTCTCACATGAATCTTCCCATATTAAAAATCATAATATCATCACCAAACAACATGAAAGGTTCATGTAAAATCATAAAAATGTGTTGATTAGAGACCATTAAATACATGCAATTTCTGCAATGTAGACATACACCAAACTAATAATGGTTTACTTGGAGAGGTAGAACTAGGTGATTCTTATATTCTTACTTTTGCTTGTCTATATTTTCATTAAAAAATTGAAGATATTTTGAGGGAAAAAGGTTTTTTTTCTTTTTTTTGTAGAGATGGAGTCTTACTTTATTGCCCTCGGTAGAGTGCCCTGCCGTCACACAGCTCACAGCAACCTCCAACTCCTGGGCTTAGGCGATTCTCTTGCCTCAGCCTCCTGAGTAGCTGGGACTACAGGTGCCCGCCACAATGCCTGGCTATTTTTTATTGCAGTTTGGCCAGGACTGGGTTTGAACCTGCCACCCTCGATATATGGGACTAAGCCCTACCCACTGAGCCATAGATGCCACCCCAAAAAAGGGCATTTTTTTTATATATGCTATTTTTTGCTTGCAAAAAATCTTCAAAAGTCTATATTTTAAAGTGTTTTCACAAGTTCTAATTAAGTGGCCTAATTTTCACACGCTGATAGGGTGTTACTGAGACTAAGGGTGACAAACTCAAAACTCCCAAATTGTTTGTCTTTGTTTCATTCACAATTAGCCAATATTTTTGTTTAAAGCTCTTCTGTAAACCTGAATGATACAGATAGTAACAAAAAAATCCCTGAAATGCTTCACATGTGGTCCAGGTGAACTGATCCTTTCTTTATGGCAAAGAAAACTATTGAATTGATATATAGGCCAAGTATAATTTTTGTTTGTTTGTTTGAGACAAAGTCTCAAGCTGTTGCCCTGGGTAGAGTGCTGTAGGGTCGTAGCTCACAGCAACCTACAACTCTTGGGCTCAAGTGATCCTCTTGCTTCAGTTTTTTCTATTTTTAGTAGAGACAGGGTCTCCCTTTTGCTCAGGCTGGTCTCAAACTTGTGAGCTCAAGCAATCCACCTGCCTCTGCCTCCCAGAGTGCTAGGATTATAGGCGTGAGCCACTACACCCAGCCCCAAATATAAATTTTTGGAAATAACTGTGGTGCTTTATTTATCAAACTTGAACTAAGATAACTTAATTAAAAGTAACTCTTACCAGGTACATAGACATGCCAGTTCAAGAAAAACTAGTTTTGTTTTGTAAATAGGAGGGTTTTGGGAATGAAGGATGCTTTTAAGGAAATTAGCAAGAAAGAATCCCAGGGAAGAACACTAACGTCTTTGTTATATTAACTTATGTCCTGTTGAAAGCATGATTTGAGAAGGTATACTTTGAGACAATTCTTTGAGAATTGTAATCTCCCAGTGAAGATTATTTCTCTTTGAATGAGTCTTTTTGTAGACATACATGAAAATAAAAGAATTGAGCACCTAATAGTTTATAACACGTATTTTTACTTATTTTTACAGATAACTGTTCTTAAAATAATTACAATACTCTGGTAACAATTATGTATAATGACCATTCAGTAATCTAGGAGTCGTTTTGCCAGCAATCTCCACTCCCTGGAATACATTCAAGAGTAAGGGAATAGGGAGAGAAGTTACTGTGCAAGCAAACTACATTCCACCAAGCCCCTGGACTGAAGTTCAGGCATTTAATTTGTAGGAAGTTTCTTATATTTCACTCAGAGTATTTTTGTTCTTACTCTAAACCCAATTCTAACAAGTTTACTTCATCTTTCCAGAGTCACTGAAAATGGCTAGAGGTAGATACACTGACAACAATAAAATGAAGCAAGCCACAGGGGGTAAAAAAGAAACCCGATAAAAAACACAAGCAGACACAATAACAAGAACTTGGGCCATTTAATGAGGGAACAAACAGCCCCACCTACCTCAAGGGCTTAAAGGTTAACACTGCTATTTGGCCCATTGTGTAATCCATTTTCTGGTGGTGACTCTCCTTAATTCATGGGCTAGGTGTAATATTTTGATTGTCTATACAATATAGGTTTACTTTTCAGCTCAAGATGGAAAAATTGAAACTTATAAGACAAAACATTTGGAATAAGTATACCAATCAGAAAAACATTCTCATCTTACAAAAACAATCACTACTGAAGACCTGTTTAATCTATGAGAGTCACTTAGACCTTTGAATAAAAAGCATCTCTGGTGTATTAAAAATTTATGAGACCAGGCTCGGCACCTGTGGCTCAAGCGGCTAAGGCGCCAGCCACATACACCTAAGGTGGCGGGTTCCAATCCCCAGCCCGGGCCTGCCAGACAACAATGATGGCTGCAACCAAAAAATGGCCGGGCGGTGTGGCGAGCGCCTGTAGTCCCAGCTACTTGGGAGGCTGAGGCAGGAGACGTGCTTGAGCCCAGGAGTTGGAGGTTGCTGTGAGCTGTGATGCCATGGCACTCTACCCAGGGGGATAGCTTGAGGCTCTGTCTCAAA